TTATCAATGTAATATTAAATAAAATAAAAACTAAATGCATTTTCTTACTTGTTTGCATCCTCTAATGATTTAAGGTTCAACCATCATCCAAATATCTACACTCTGGAGGCACATTTTACATTTAAATAATTATTAGGAACTATTTTAATAAATTGAAATAACTACTATTCTTTTTTATTAATGATAAATGCATTATTATTAATTAAAGTTATAATTTTAAACATGAACGTGTCATTTTGATGACTTCTGATTTCCAATTATTTTGTTTATAAACCCACCCAATTTGAAATAACCACCTGTGTGTTTTCAGGTCTTGCCTCAATGGGCTGAATGCTGCAACCACACACGGTATTTGCTGTGTCACTGAGAGCTGAAAGACCTCTGGCCTCAACACACAGCTGGGGAATCCCAATCACAGTCGGCTAGAAACTTGTTGCAAATTCCGAATTAAACTCAAAATAAGGAACTTTGTGTAAGTACTGGATAGTCGCGATGTTGTCAAAAAGCTCCGGACTCCCCACAGGTGAGAGCAAGAGTTTAAACGAATTACAGCGTGAAGCAGCCCTTCCTCCTCACTAGTCACTGTAAAGACTAACGCAATGCGATGTACTAGCAAATACATACAAGCTGTGCAGCAGACGTTTCACTGCAGAAATGTTACAAAGTGATCTGCATGCAGAGTTAACAATTAAGTTGCATTTGTCGGCAAAAACATCTAAAAGTTGAGTGCAATATTTTTATTGGATTTAAAAAGAGATGTAGTCACAAAGCCTCCTAATTTACAATGTAATAAGACCACTTCACATCACCGGAAGTTTTGTTGCCTCGTTCTGAATATGCATACCTGGAACTTTTGTCTATCTGCGATGTAAATTGGAAATTTTAGATATTACTGTGTACTTTTTCAAACTTGAAATGCACTCAATGCCCCAAAATATAAAAATAGCACTGTGGTTTCCCTTTAAAGGACCTAACTGCCTCATGGAATATGAACTTGTGACCTCTAGTACAGACACCACCAATCTATCCATATATAGGAATCAACAATATTATACTGTATGTGGTCAATACATCAATGTCACAGTCCATGAAGCAGTTTGGTCCTGTCAGGAATAGCAAGAGTCTTAAACCGCTGTAATGACAGGCTTATGTTTAGATTAATTTCACATTTCCCTCCAGAATGCAATTTTTGGAAAACACTTGAATCATGTTAAAATATTGGGAAGCCTGACAAGTATGAAATATTAATATTTAATCAATATTTAATATGATGTTTCTATATATGTATAGAAACTATTAAAGGAATACATTTTTCTACTGTGATACAACTTATGCTCAGCCTCAATGAAATCACCCCTATCAGGGTTATACAATCAAAATAAAGATGTCTTGTATTTTGTAATGTGATTAAAATTCAGCTGTGTCAAAATGTGGAATAATTTATGAATTCCATATTAATATGCTACTGTACCAATGTACAAACCTGGGCATGATTGTGTTAATTATCCCTAAAATCATATGTACTACTAAATAATACCATTCATCTGAAAAGAACTCAATTGTATCGTAGGTTCAAGGTTGTAACATCCCTCTCAACAGCTGGTCACATTTAATTCCCCCCAGCAGCCTCCACAAAATTAGGAATTTAAAGGTGTACCTGGAAGAGTCTCTGGAATTGTGGATTTGCCATTTTGTTCACTTTAAAAAGGTCTGCTGTCTCCCCATCTTCTTCCTCAACCAACATCATGGAGTCAATCAACGAATCCACAGCAGACAGCTGCTCCTCTGAAAACAAAAAATGAAAGAAACATGAAGATGAACTAAGCCAGGAATGAAAAATACCATATTTATTACATCATTCACTCACATTAATTTGTTAGTCACTTCTATACACACTGACTTACAATCACATCTGGTCAAGATCCAAAAGGTGTATATACCAGTAGCATAAAAAACAGCTTAAAAAGTGCAGCATAAATAAAATGCTAGGACACTGCACTGGTACGGAATGGTATGGAAAGTTACTGAAAAACGTATTTCCATAAAGATTTAGATAGATGTTTACTGGACCAGACATTTTTCCCCATTAGCTTTGATAATGTCCAGTGTACTTAAAGCAATCCAAAGCATTAAAAGGCAAGGGTTTTCAATTGTTTATTAAAGCTGTACCCATTTTGTCCCAGAATTTCAGATCAAGTAGACACAATCCTATTATATTTTTTTCTTCAATAGATCCTCATCACCTCATCAAAATTAAAGACAAAATAGCATAATTCTTTCTTAAAATCATTTTTGTTCATGTAAAATACTTTCATTGTATTGAGGTATAGTGCCAAGATGACTTCCACATATTTTACATATTTAAAATTTAAAATGTTATTAGATCATATTCTAAGTCCTAGGAACAGATAACCCGATGAAACAAATGACAAAAGCAATGTAATTTATCTTTAAATGATAAAACATTCAATATATGTGACAAAGTATGTGAATGTTTAGATTCAGTAACTGGCGGCCCCACCTTGACCAGTTATCAGTCTCTCACAATCCCTTGGCTTAGAGGAATTTTAAACAATCCCTCCTTAATGAACTCCTTCAACTCCATGACACTTGAGGCCTAGACAGCTCACTTCAAGTCCTGCCACAATATTTTGATAGGGTTTAGTTCTGGACTCTAACTAGGCCATGTAAAACCTGGAATTTCTTTTGTAGGTGTACTTGTATGTTTAGGTTCACCATCTTCCTGCAAGACTCACTTTCCATTCAGCTTCAAGTCACAGAGAGAAGGCCAGACATTTTCTTCTAGAATCACCTGATACAATGCAGAATTCATAGTTGTGTCAGTGATGCTCAGCCATCCGAGTCCTGAGACAGCAAAGCAACCCCAAACCTTCACATTCTCCCCGCTGTGCTTGATGGGTGGGATGATGGTCTGTCCAGAGAACACAGATACAGAAGCCTTATGGATCATCTCTGCATTCCTTGATGTATTTCAGATGGGCAGCATTGCTATTTAGATGGGCAGCATTGCTATTTTTGGACAGCAGTGGTTTTCTCCTTACTATGCTTCCATTAACACCATTTTTTCCAGTTGATTTCTGATAAAAGTTGAGTCATGAATAGTCACATTAGCCAAAGGTGAGAGTAGTTCCTGCAGTTCCTTGGATGTTGCTCTGGAGTTCTTCCTTGATGATTTTCCAGTTTGTT